AAAATATTTGTAAAAAGTGCCCTTCTGTTTTGAAGAAGTGCCCTTTTCTGCACAAGTGCCCTGTTTGTCAAGGAAGTTGTGCCTTGTGTATAATCTTTGGTTTTGAACAGCGCCCCATCGTCAGATAGCACCAGCCCTCCCCCCCCCCCCCCCCCCGCCTTTATTTAATTTTACGTAGGCAAAAAAAAATGTGTCTTCATTTCAGCACATTAATTATCATAAATGAAGCGTGCTGTTGTTTTTACAATGCAATTCAAAATGTTCCGAATTGCAATGGGATGATATCTTAGGCTGTATTTTAATTGTTGTTCTGACTCTTTTTTTTTTCTCATTCGGCGTCGGAACTTTGTCAAGTTAAATTTTCTTTTTCAAAGACTGCATGTAATGGTTTCTGGATTAAAACTCAAGTACTGTGTTTTGTAAGTACTATATCCCTGACGCAGGAATGTGGTGGTGGCGTGATGTAGCATTGCAGAATAGGAACCTTTGACCCTGTTAATCAAGCCTTTCATGTATACACCATCAACTTGAACCTAAAACAAAACCAAGTCACGTAATTGTTGACTGATGCAACATTCAAGGAGTGAGGGAATGCGCCGTCCAACTGGAGACCTGGGCCCCTGGGTATCACACAACTGGCTGAGGGAATGCGCCGTCCAATCAGAGACCTGGGCCCATGGGTATCACACAACTGGCTGGTGATAACCATCATTATTCAACGATGACCTAAAAATATTCGTCAGTTTTTCATTGGTGAATATACAGTGCATATGTACACAAAGAGCTAATATAATATTCAAATTTTGATACTCAAAGCCGTCATATATAAGATTTTGCATGCGAGGGTTTCATCAGATTGAGGACGTGGCATTCAGCCTTTGCATGCCTTCATTTATGAAGTCTTCTCGCCAACATTGAGTTGTACTATAACATTGATTTGTACTGGGAGTTTTGCGTACTTTAGAGTGTAGCCCTCCATTTTGCTCAAGAAGGTAAGAGTTGTAAATTGCTTTAATTATGCAAGTACATGAATGTCTATCAATACCCTGATTGCAAACTGTGAGGAAGACATTCCATATGGTACAAGTTCAAAATCATGTAACTGACAAACCACGTTACTTTTGAATTTCTGATCCAAGAAATGAAAATATTGTGGTTCATTAGTTACACGATTCTGAACTTGTATTTGAAACGTCTTCTTCGCAGTGTGGGGCATCAGGGTGACCGTAGATATTCACGTAGGCCCCTACTCGTGTATTAAATAACCAGAGAGAATGGGTGGTACCCTATTCCCCCTCAACAGCAAAGCTGGAATCTGTACGGGCAGCAGGAATGTAACCCTATGCATTACGGCAGAGTATTCAATGTTTTTTTTTTCCACTAGGATAGGCATGAGTAAACCTTGTGTGCATTCATGAAGGGAATAAATAGGTGCTTGGTCTGTTTTAAACAATATGGTTAAGACTGGTTTGGAGTATGGACAAAAATTGCAGTATACAATAATACACTGTTTGGATATTACTACTGAACTATTGAAATACAATTACACCATTGTTCAATGTGCCTGGTTTTGGGCGGAGTGTCATTTTCCCCATAAGAGATGTCTCTCTGTATGTAACAAACTATGCAGTATTGAAACGATATCCAACCCCCCCCCCCCCCCCCACCCCTCACAAAAAAAATCATGCTTCACAAAATAAAAATCTGTTACTTCTAGGGTGGAGGCAACCAGCCAATCTTATGGAAAATATTGTCAGAAATCAGTTGAAGCAATTTTCTGAGTTGGAAAAAATGGAGTAGCCCTCAAATTTTCACGCAGACGTTCCTATTCATGCTCATTATGGAGAACAATTGTCCGATGTGTTCAAAGTGTGGATTCGTAATTCCAAATCCACACTTTACTAAAGATTCGTCGTTCCGAACCCACACTTTGTGACCAGTGTAAGAGATTCATAGATCCCAATCCACACTTTTAACAATAGTGTGACGTCATAGCAACGGTTTAAGCTATCATAACAACAGAACCCAGGATTGAATCCGTAGAGTTATACATGTACATCTGCATAGAAATAATTTGGGCCTATAAAATTTGGCATGATGTTGGCCTAATAATAGTTTAAGGTCATAAATAAAGAGTGTGTGTAGTGAGGGGGCAGGGCATCACTGCACAGTGCATTTGTCCTATTTCTTTCAATTTGGTTCAAAGATTAAATCTTGAAGTACTTTGTTTATTTCTGTAGTGTATTTAATCTGGGCGTCTTTCGATTTTGAAGAAAAAAACTGACACATTACACTGACACACAAAATGACATATAATGACACTCTACAAAGAATATACAATCAATGACCCAAATTGTCAGGGTGTGTGATTTCTGTGTGAAATCTGTGTGATTTCCTGTAGTTTACTCAAAAATTTTGAGCTGGCGAGACTGAGAGGTACGAGTCACAGAGTTACGAGTCACAGAGGTACGAGTCACAGAGGCACGTTGCGAGTGGCTACGTGGGGGGGGGGGGGGGGGTAGATAAATTGGTCATGGCTAGGCTCTGACTAATGGTCACATGCTTGCCTTACATGGACTAGTAACTTATCAAACAACTGCCCTGGAATTGGTCCATTTTATTTCTTAAAGAGAAGATAAAAATGATATTTTTATCAACAGACCCTTTAAGTTGGCTTCCTGCAAGGAATTAAGTGTAATTACTCAGGCACGTATCTAGGTGGGGGGGGGGGGGAAACACCCCAGCTCTGTCCCCCCCCCCCAAAAAAAAATATTATCATACAAATTCCAAAAATTAAAGTTCAACTTGTCGCTAAAATGGCAACTTAAACCCCCTCGGAGGGAGGGAGGGTTTATCTCTAAACCAGAACATGAACCTTGCAGAATAGGAACCTTTGACCCTGTTAATCAAGCCTTTCATGTATACACCATCAACTTGAACCTAAAACAAAACCAAGTCACGTAATTGTTGACTGACGCAACATCAAGGGAGTGAGGGAATGCGCCGTCCAATCAGAGACCTGGGCCCCTGGGTATCACGCAACTGGCTGGTGATAACCATCCTTATTCAACGATGACCTAAAAATATTCGTCATTTTTTCATTGGTGAATATAGAGTGCATATGTAGACAAAGAGCTTATATAATATTCAAATTTTGATACCCAAAGCCGTCATATAAGATTTTGCATGCGAGGGTTTCATCAGAATGACGACGTGGCATTCAGCCTTTGCACATGTTGCATGCCTTCATTTATGAAGTCTGCTCGCAAACATTGAGTTGTACTATAAAATTGATTTGTACTGGGAGTTTTGCGTACTTTAGAGTGTAGCCCTCCATTCTGCTCAAGAAGGTAAGAGTTGTAAATTGCTTTAATGATGCAATTACATGAATGTCTATCAATACCCTGATTGCAAACTGTGAGGAAGACATTCCATATGGTACAAGTTCAAAATCATGTATGCACTAACTGACAAACCACAGTTGAATTTCTGATCGAAGAAATGAAAATATCGTAGTTCATTAGTTACACGATTCTGAACAAGTTTGTATTTGAAACGTCTTCTTCACAGTGTGGCATCAGGGTGACAGTAGACATTCACGTAGGCCCCCTACTTGTGTATTAGATAACCAGAGAGACTTTGGTGGTACCCTTTTGTTCCCCCTCAACGGCAAAGCAGGAATCTGTATGGGCAGCAAGAATATAACCCTATGCATTACTGCAGAGTATTCAATGGTTTTGTATCATAGGCATAAGTAAACCTTGTGTGCATTATAGGGAATAAATAGGTGCTTGGCCGGTTTTAAACACTGTGTTTAAGACTGGTTTGGAGTATGGACAAAAATTGCAGTTTACAATAATACATTGTTTGGATATTACTATCGAAGTCTTTTTTTGTGGGAGCAGGTTATTACACCATTGTCCAATGTGCCTGGTTTTGGGCGGAGTGTCATTTTCCCGATAAGTAATGTCTCTCTGTATTTTACAAATTATGCAGTATTGAAATGATAACCTACCCACCCCCCCCCCCAACCCCTCACAAAAAAATTCATGCTTTACAAAAAAAAAAGCGTTATTTCTAGGGTGCAGGCAACCAGCGAATCCTATGGGGAAAATTGTTAGAAATCAGTTGAAGCAATATTCTGAGTGGGAAAAAATGGAGTAGCCCTCTAAAATCCTGCAATTGTTTTTGGGTTTTTTTTTTCTTTATTATTTTGCTTACATCCCTACTTTATACTATATGAACATAGGTGTGTCGGAACATAGGTGTGTCGGAACATAGGTGTGTCGGAACATAGGTGTGTCGGAACATAGGTGTGTCGGAACATAGGTGTGTCGGAACATAGGTGTGTCGGAACATAGGTGTGTCGGAACATAGGTGTGTCGGAACATAGGTGTGTCGGAACATAGGTGTGTCGGAACATAGGTGTGTCGGAACATAGGTGTGTCGGAACATACGTGTGTCGGAACATAGGTGTGTCGGAACATAGGTGTGTCGGAACATAGGTGTGTCGGAACATAGGTGTGTCGGAACATAGGTGTGTCGGAACATAGGTGTGTCGGAACATAGGTGTGTAACCAATGGATTACAAACTTGTACTTTGTTGATAGGTACAAATGTACATGCACTATATATCCCTGATGATGTAGGAATCTGGTGGTGGCGTGATGTAGCATTGCAGAATAGGAACCTTTGACCCTGTCAATCAAGCCTTTCATGTATACACCATCAACTTGAACCTAAAACAAACCCAAGTCACGTAATTGGTGAACGATGCAACATCCAGGGAGTGAGTGAATACGCCGTCCAATTGGAGACCTGGGGCCCTGGGTATCTCGCAACTGGCTGAGGGAATGCGCCGTCCAATCAGAGACCTGGGCCCCTGGGTATCCCACAACTGGCTGAGGGAATGCGCCATCCAATCAGAGACCTGGACCCCTGGGTATCACGCGACTGGCTGGTGATAACCATCTTTAATTAACGATGACCTAAACAATTCCATCAGTTTCATTGGTGGATATCGAGTGGGTGCGGCACAAAGAGATCACATGCACATTCAGCATGCACATTTTGATACCCAAAGCCGTCATATATAAGATTTTGTATGCGAGGGTTTCATCAGATTGACGACGTGGCATTCAGCCTTTGCATGCCTTCATTTATGAAGTCTGCTCGCTAACATTGAGTTGTACTATAACATTGATTTGTACTGGGAGTTTTTGCATACTTGAGAGTGTAGCCCTCCATTTTGCTCAAGAACATGAAGAAGGTAAGAGTTGTAAATTGCTTTAATTATGGAAGTACATGAATGTCTATCAATACCCTGATTGCAAACTGTGAGGAAGACATTCCATATGGTACAAGTTCAAGATCATGTAGGCCCTAAGTGACAAACCACGGTTGAATTTCTGATCGAAGAAATGAAAATATCGTAGTTCATTAGTTGCACGATTCTGAACAAGTTTGTATTTGAAACGTCTTCTTCACAGTGTGGCATCAGGGTGACAGTAGACATTCACGTAGGCCCCTACTCGTGTACTAGATAACCAGAGAGACTTTGGTGGTACCCTTTTGTTCCCCCTCAACAGCAAAGCAGGAATCTGTATGGGCAGCAAGAATATAACCCTATGCATTACTGCAGAGTATTCAATGGTTTTGTATCATAGGCATAAGTAAACCTTGTGTGCATTATAGGGAATAAATAGGTGCTTGGCCGGTTTTAAACACTGTGTTTAAGACTGGTTTGGAGTATGGACAAAAATTGCAGTTTACAATAATACATTGTTTGGATATTACTATCGAAGTCTTTTTTTGTGGGAGCAGGTTATTACACCATTGTCCAATGTGCCTGGTTTTGGGCGGAGTGTCATTTTCCCGATAAGTAATGTCTCTCTGTATTTTACAAATTATGCAGTATTGAAATGATAACCTACCCACCCCCCCAACCCCTCACAAAAAAATTCATGCTTTACAAAAAAAAAAGCGTTATTTCTAGGGTGGAGGGAACCAGCGAATCCTATGGGAAAAATTGTCAGAAATCAGTTGAAGCAATATTCTGAGTGGGAAAAAATGGAGTAGCCCTCTAAAATCCTGCAATTGTTTTGGGTTTTTTTTCTTAATTATTTTGCTAACATTCCTACTTTACACTATATGAACATAGGTGTGCCGGAACATAAGTGTGTCTGAACATAGGTGTGTCGGAACATAGGTATGTCGGAACATACATGTACCGGTAGGTGTGTCGGAACATAGGTGTGTCGGAACATAGGTGTGTAACCAATGGATTACAAACTTGTACTTTGATGATAGGTACAAATGTACATGTACTATATATATACATGTGATGTAGGAATCTGGTGGTGGCGTGATGTAGCATTGCAGAATAGGAACCTTTGACCCTGTCAATCAAGCCTTTCATGTATACACCATCAACTTGAACCTAAAACAAACCCAAGTCACATAATTGTTGAACGATGCAACATCCAGGAAGTGAGTGAATGCTCAGTCCAATTGGAGACCTGGGCCCCTGGGTATCACACAACTGGCTGAGGGAATGCGCCGTCCAATCAGAGACCTGGGCCCCTGGGTATCACACAACTGGCTGAGGGAATGCGCCTTCCAATCAGAGACCTGGGCCCCTGGGTATCACACAACTGGCTGAGGGAATGCGCCGTCCAATCAGAGACCTGGGCCCCTGGGTATCACACAACTGACTTAGGGAATGCACCGTCCAATCAGAGACCTGGAACCCTGGGTATCACACGACTGGCTGGTGATAACCATCTTTATTTAACGATGACGTAAACAATTCCATCAGTTTCATTGGTGGATATCGAGTGGGTGCGGCACAAAGAGATCACGTGCACATTCAGCATGCACATTTTGATACCCAAAGCCGTCACATATAAGATTTGGCATGCGAGGGTTTCATCAGATTGACGACGTGGCATTCAGCCTTTGCATGCCTTCATTTATGAAGTCTGCTCGCTAACATTGAGTTCCACTATAACATTGAGTTGTACTGGGAGTTTTTGCATACTTGAGAGTGTATAGCCCTCCATTTTGCTCAAGAACATGAAGAAGGTAAGAGTTGTAAATTGCTTTAATTATGCAAGTACATGAATGTCTATCAATACCCTGATTGTAAACTGTGAGGAAGACATTCCATATGGTACAAGTTCAAGATCATGTAGGCCCTAAGTGACAAACCACGGTTGAATTTCTGATCGAAGAAATGAAAATATCGTAGTTCATTAGTTACACGATTCTGAACAAGTTTGTATTTGAAACGTCTTCTTCGCAGTGTGGCATCAGTGTGACAGTAGACATTCACGTAGGCCCCTACTCGTGTATTAGATAACCAGAGAGACTTTGGTGGTACCCTTTTGTTCCCCCTCAACAGCAAAGCAGGAATCTGTATGGGCAGCAAGAATATAACCCTATGCATTACTGCCGAGTATTCATTGGTTTTGTATCAAAGGCATAAGTAAACCTTGTGTGCATTATAGGGAATAAATAGGTGCTTGGCCGGCTTTAAACACTGTGTTTAAGACTGGTTTGGAGTATGGACAAATATTGCAGTATACAATAATACATTGTTTGGATATTACTATCAAAGTCTTTTTTGTGCGGGGGGGGGGGGGGAGGTTTGAGCAGGTTATTACACCATTGTTCAATGTGCCTGGTTTTGGGCGGAGTGTCATTTTTCCCATAAGAGATGTCTCTCTGTAATTTACAAACTATGCAGTATTGAAACGATAACCAACCCTCCCCAACCCCTCACAAAAAAAATCATGCTTTACACACAAAAAAACCCTTATTTCTAGGGTGGAGGCAACCAGCAAATCTTATGGAAAAAATTGTCAGAAGTCAGTTGAAGCAATTTTCTGAGTGGGAAAAAATGGAGTAGCCCTCTGAAATCCTGCATTTTTTTTGAATTATTTTGCTAAGATCCCTACTTTATACTTCAATCTTTTTTGAAATACAATTACAGTTTTTCTTTCAAAAAGCAAATGAATTTGGTGTTACTTTATCAAGATCTCTTTTGCAGGTTTCAATTTATATTGACAGACAGTTCATTTCCGCAATAAAGTAATCGATGCCCCTACAATGTAGCTTACCAAAGTTTGGGGAAAAGAAACATACATGTGTACATGGACTAACTATAGCTAGTTTTATTAACACAACATCAATTTCTTTTAGTGGAATGGTGTGATTTTGTCTGACTCCATGTTGAAATTTAACTTTCAAAAATAGTTAAATTTTGTAAAACATGGGTTTTGTTTTAACCACCACACAAATTTCCCCCTATTCTGACGTCCTAATTTTCCTGGTTCTCAAATACGTTTAATTTTACAGGCTAGTTGTTAAGCTCAGAGAGACAATTTAAATCTGGCAAAAATAAACTTCAAGAAAGATCAACCAATGGTAATTGTTTTAGGTTTAAGAGAATACACAAGAAAGTGTGGATTCGTAATTTAAGAATTCATGAGGCGCGAAGCGCCGAGTGAGTTCGTAAATTAAGAGCGTATTCTTCGACTTAAACCATTGCGTCAACAGAAGTATTGGAAAGAATGTTGCAACCTGACGCCACTTTTTCTTCATATATATCATCTCAATGAAGCATTTGTTGCAAAAATGATGATAAGACATGAATCTGGGACTGAGAAATGTTTCCAATTTCGTTAGGAAATACTTGAAATGACTTACCATAGACTTTGTTCATAAGCCCAAAAGTGGCATCAGGTTGCAAATTTTTTTTCCTGGCGTGTTTAGCATGTGTATCGCCACACCCGTACAACCAAGTCATTTTGTGTGTATAGGCTCCTTACATCAAAATGGATGGTTCAGACGACGATTTATTTCTGAATAAACGTCCTATTCATGCTCATTATGGAGAACAATTGTCCGACATGTGCACAGTGCGTTTGATTTCGTTCAAAGATAAAATCTTGAAGTACTTTGTTTATTTCTGTAGTGTATTTATTCTGGGCGTCTTTCGATTTTGAAGAAAAAAACTTGACACATTACACACAAAATTACATATAATGACACTCTACAAAGAATATGAAAAAAAACACCCTAGCTCTGTCCAAAAAAAATATTATCATACAAATTCCAAAAATTAATGCAAACCCCCCCCCCCCCTTCTCCCTGCTGTCACACCCCCAAAAAATTTGACGGTATAATGTCCGCCTGTTCAAAATACGGTAGACCATTCTGTAATGTAGTGTTAATAATCGTCGAATTTGAACAGCGCCCCTATTGAAATGTGGTACCAGCCCGCCCCCCCCCCCCCCCCCCCCCCCCCCCAGTATTTTATTTTATGGAGGCCAAGTGTCCGGCGGAAAAAAACCTGTGTACATTTTCAGATTTTTTTGCTGATGACCCCCCCCCCCCGCAAAAATTCCTGGATCTGCCCCTGTTACTGTATGTGAAGAGTGTCAAAGGGGTGGTTTGAAGTGTTCTGTTTGTTTACTTTTTGTCTGGCTGGTTCAAATTAAGTATCATTTTCAGTGATATGATTTATATTTATGTTTGTTGTGGGTGGATACTTGGACCGATATCAGTTCAAATAGTTGACAGAATACAGGCCACCTACAACGGCAGCGAGACAGAGGTTGATAATTACAGACGGTTCAAATGTCATTGCTGAGTGGTGCTTGCTTACATTGCATCAGTGATGTGAATCTCATCACTACACTTACTGTAGGCACTCATTGATGGTATGACAAGATTGGATATTTGCTCATCACTACGTGCATTTGATGGTATTTGTGTCCTCAAAGTCAAAATAAAGAAGTGGGGTAGGGGTGGGGTTGAATCTTTCGATGCTTGGGGTTGGGGAGGTGGGTGTGGCTGTCCAAAGTTCATACATGTATTGGCATGATGAGGGTCCCTTCCAGACAGGTTCTTATGATAAATGTACCATCAGCAAATAATGAGTATGGACATGGAGGCTCTGATACGGAGCATGGGGGTAAATGAGGAGAGGGAAAACATGGGCGGGGCATGCCCCTCCTCCACCCACTGCTGTTCTGGATGATTTTATGCACTAGAATGAAGGTTGCCAAAATGGTGTTTAAGTTCCTTCCCACACAAAGTTAACTGTTATGTCTTTATATCCAAACAGTAATGGACGTGTGAACTCCTTCACTGCCACAGTCAGCTACAGAGTAACGCCTTCCATGGGTTAAAGGTGAGTGAACTAATTGATCTACATGTATTAGACATAATGAAGTCACGCTTTGTTTACATGTGTGCTTTCCTACGGGAGCTTGGTGGCTCTCATGCCCACCTGGCTCTGATAGAAAAGCACACATGTAAACAAAGCGTGACGTCAATAGTTCTATTAATGACTGCAATACTTTCCTTTCTGCTGATAAGGAGTGTTCACCTTATTTAAACCATTGTGACTGAATGATGTGACTTGTAAAATAAACTGGGTCTCCAATTTAAAGTTTAAAGCTCCAACATGCTCAAATAAAAAACTACTTTGGACTTTTATTGTCAAGGTGGCAGGAAGTTTTGCTGGTCACGTAGCAAGAATTGTTTTTGGGGGTGGGGTGCTATATCACTGAAGGGCCAGCTTAGTGTATTGCTTTTAGCTGACTAACCAACTATCCAAACAACTGACAGACTGACCGACTGACCAACTGACAGGACCAACCGATCAAGCGATGACCGACCAACCGACAGGGCGACCAATCGATCCACCGATTGACCGACCAACTGTCTGATGGAGCGACCAACCGATCGACTGACCTACTGACTGACTCCCCGACTCCCCAACCGACGGATGGAGCGACCAACCGATCGACTGACCTACTGACTGACTGACCAACGGAGTGACCAACCAATCGACTGACCTTCTGACTGACAGACCAACGGAGTGACCAACCAATCGACTGACCTACTGACTGACTGACCAATGGAGTGACCAACCGATCAACTGACCTACTGACTGACAGAATGATGGAGTGACCAACCGTTCGACTGACCTACTGACTGACTGACCAACAGAGTGACCAACCAATCAACTGACCTACTGACTGACAGAATGACGGAGTGACCAACCGATAGACTGACCTACTGACTGACTCCCCAACGGAGTGACCAACCAATTGACTGACCTAATGACTGACAGACCGACGGAGTGACCAACCAATAGACTGACCTACTGACTGACTGACCAACGGAGTGACCAACCAATTGACTGACCTACTGACTGACTCCCCAATGGAGTGACCAATCGATCGACTGACCTACTGACTGACTCCCCAACGGAGTGACCAACCAATCGACTGACCTACTGACTGACTGACCGATGGAGTGTCCAACCGATCGACTGACCTACTGACTGACTCCCCGACGGAGTGACAAACCAATCGACTGACCTACTGACTGACGCCCCAATGGAGTGACCAACCGATTGACTGACCTACTGACTGACAGACCGACGGAGTGACCAACCAATCGACTGACCTACTGACTGACAGACCGACGGAGTGACCAACCAATTGACTGACCTACTGACTGACTCCCCGACGGAGTAACAAACCAATCGACTGACCTACTGACTGACGCCCCAACGGAGTGACCAACCAATCGACTGACCTACTGACTGACAGACCGATGGAGTGACCAACCGATCAACTGACCTACTGACTGACTCCCCGACGGAGTGACAAACCAATCGACTGACCTACTGACTGACTCCCCAATGGAGTGACCAACCGATTGACTGACCTACTCCCCGACAGACCGATGGAGTGAACAACCACTTGCCTGACCTACTGACTGACTGACCGACGGAGTGACCAACCAATCGACTGACCTACTGACCGACTGACAGACGGAGTGACCAACCGATCGACTGACCTACTGACTGACTCCCCGACGAAGTGACCAACAGATCCACTGACCTACTGACTGACTTCCAGAGGAAGTGACCAGCCGATCGACTGACCTACTGACTGACTGACCGACAGAGAGATCAACCGATCAACTGACCTACTGACTGATCGACTCCCCAACGGAGTGACCAACCGATCGTCTGTCCTACTGACTGACTGACCGACGGAGTGACCAACTGACCGACTGACCTTCTGACTGACTCCACGATGGAGTGACCAACCGATCAACTGACCTACTGACTGACTGACCGACGGAGTGACCAATCAATCGACTGACCTACTGACTGACTCCCCAACTGATGGAGCTACATGTACCAACCGATCGATTGACCTACTGACTGACTGACCAACTGATGGAGCTACCAACCCATCGACTGACCAGACTGACTGACCAACTGATGGAGCTACCAACCGATCGACTGACCTACTGACTGACTGACCAACTGATGGAGCTACCAACCGATCGACTGACTTTAAGTCAGTCGATCGGTTGGTCGCTCCGTACTGACTGACTGACCGACCGACTGGTAAACTCACTGGCCGACTGACTGACCAACCGACTGAGTCACCAACTGATCGATTGGCCGACCAACCAACCTCCCGACTGATAGAGCAACCAACCCACCGACCAACCAACCAACAGAGCGACCCGACCAACCTACCAACCAATCGACCGCTTGACCGACCGACCAACAGAGCGACCAACTGACCGATGGACTGACTGACCAACCAATCGACCACCCAACTGACCAACCAACAGAGCAACGAACTGATCGACTGAACGACAGATTGACTGACCAACCAACAGACTGACCAACCGACTGACTGACCTATATAGCAGGCATGCAACAATTCCTCAGATCCGCTAATTTTCTTGTGTTTTGCTTCTCGTGAATACCATTACAAATTGCAAAACACTGTACCAAGTCTTGTGGGGTTTGGAAATCCCTGGGGTTTTTTTTAATTCCCAGTTGCATGCCTGATATAATGACCAACCGGTCGACCAACGGACTGATGGACTAATTGACTGACCAACAGCATCCATTTTGTGATTTTACCCGATTGTACTTTGCACACACAGGATTATACCAGGTTGGACTACCGAAGCTGTCTGCAAGTAAACTGTGCCCACATCACCAGCGCTAAATGGCAGAACCACTGGATGAGGGAGCCCAAAGACGAAATGAGACACAAACGCTGCGGACACAAACTAACCCTGGTCCAAGCACAGCACAAGACATTCAGACAACTCCGACCCAACAAGTACCAGCTGGTAATGAACAACCTTCCCAGCAGGAACCAACGCAACAACCACCGCCACAACTACAGCCAAGACCGGGTGAGACACAAACTAACCCTGGTCCAAGCACAGCACCAACCAGTCAGGGAGCTCCGACCCAACAACTACCGGCTGATGGAGTGAGGGATGCTCAACAAACAACTCAGTCTGGCAGCATACAGCCTTCCCAGCAGGAACCAATGCCACAACCACCGTCTCAACTACAGCCAAGACCGGGTGAGACACAAACTAAGCCTGGTCCAAGCACAGCACCAACCAGTCAGGAAGCTCCGACCCAACGACTACCGGCTGATGGAGTGAGGGATGCTCAACAAACAACTCAGTCTGGCAGCATACAGCCTTCCCAGCAGGAACCAACGCAACAACCACCACCGCATATACAGCCAAGACCGGGTGAGACACAAACTAACCCTGGTCCAAGCACAGCACCAACCAGTCAGGGAGCTCCGACCGAACAACCACCGGCTGATGGAGTGAGGGATGCTCAACAAACAACTCAGTCCGGCAGCATACTGCCTTCCCAGCAGGAACCAATGCCACAACCACCGTCTCAACTACAGCCAAGACCAGGTGAGACACAAACATTTGTCTGTAAACCCTGCATGTTATGACTCCCCTGGCCCTGATATCGGTTCCCTGACAGCATCCTTCCCCTCCATCCTTTGCATTGACGCTATTAGGCACAATATACAGAATAGCATGAGTCCCTGAAACAAGGGGGACCGCACTGGTGACCTGCCCCCCTCACCCCATGGTGAATTACTCGGAGCATCCGTACTACACAATACCACAACCAATTAGTAACTAATTAAAACACCGATAAGGTCACACTATTCCAATCCCTCTAACAGTTAACGCTTAAATCCTTCCCACCTAAAAGAAACAAAGATTCACCCCGTTGAAGTTTGGACTGATATTCAACTTCCGGTGCGATTCTGCAAATTTCAAATTGGCACTGAAACCGAGGGCCTCAGTACTGAGAGAAATAAAAAGAAAAGGTCATCAGACCTGGAAAATGCAAATGAGGATCACTCAGAGAGGATACGGCTTTTTGTTAATACAAATTTTCAAATGAATCATGCTTTCTGCCCAGCAACGTTGACGAAAAAGTCGTATCTGGTTTTTTTATCTTTGAATTTTTTACAGCAGATTAGTATATAAAGAAATTCACTAGAGTGAGATTTGAACAGACAACCTCTGAATCACCGTTCCAGTGCTCTATTAACTGACCTATTGAGCCATATTTTGCATTTTTCTGATTGGTGCCTCTTCACAGAACATAATTCACTATACTTACGTATTAGTACTCATCTATTATTGAATACATTAGGAAAGAAAGGCATAAAACCCTGTTTTATGTGACCACTGCCTCAATCCTGCAAAATCCTTCGGCAATCACTGTTAATTTGTTGAGGCAGAGCCAGTGACATCCTGGAGCAGTGCGGAGGATTAGTACCATGGGCGTCGCCAGGATTTTTTCTAGAGGGGGCCAAAAAATTCCTGTATTTCTCAACATATTCCGAATTTCTCAGTTTTAGAAGGGGGCTGGGACATTTTGCCCCCCAATAAAATTCATTAAATGTACACCACTATGACTTCGCGTCTCTTTTTTTTTTCTTCTGTTTTTTTTGTCTTCCTTTTTTTTTTGCTTTTCCAGGTGGGGGGCAAGCGCGCCCCCTTCCCCCCCCCCCCTCGCGACGCCCATGATTAGTACATGTATAATGTAGGCCTAAATATGTGTGGCTGAGCATAAACAACAAAAGGTCCAGTGCATCCTGCAAAATCAGACACACATTTCTGCCATAAAGCCTCAATTTTCTGCAAAATGTTCCATTTTGCCGAGAGGATATGGGGAGGTTAGGCCCTAAAAAGTTTCCAGTTTCTGGTTTGCACGTGCGTCGCTGTAGCCATGCCCGTCAGCAAAATTAACTAGACGGACGTTGTGTTTGTAGGTAAACAAACACCGAGCTGTTCCGGTGTTTTTTCTGTCTTTGAATGAAAAAGATTGATGTGGCCATCGGCGGCTATCGAACCCAGAACCTTTGTGTGGGGATTCCAAGTTTTTGCCGTGTGCCAAGTGTGTGAAGTCGATTTATGTCGGACGTCCTAAATCCACGTGGTTCAATGTGTGCGCAGTCCTCTTTTCTTTGCGTTTGGGAACGGGTGCGCGTGCAAAGCGTACATGTAGGTGGGTGATTCCATAAATTTAGGGTCCAATTTTGGTGTCCGAGTTACATCTGACTTATGTAAGATTTTGTAATTCAGGACACATGTCTCTGATTCTAAGAGTGATTATGTAAAGCAAACTACCTGGTAAACAAATAAAAAATAGTGTGAAGTCATTTTTATTGACACTTGAATGGCAAATTAACAGGTCCGGTGTAACAGGGACACCAAAAATGTCACACTTTTGGACCCCTTATTTATGGACATACCCAGGTGCGCAGATGATGATAGCGGGTCGAGGATAGATTTAGGAAAGTGTCAAAGTGTACCTGTATTTAGCAACTTATTTCTGGTGTCTATATTTGAAGTAGGAAAAACGAAATGTGTTCAACTATGTTGGGAGTGAAAATACCAATAGTACTGAGTAGACGAGAAGGGAATTAAATTTAATGACGTCTTGGAAAGAATTCCATATACGGACTCCAGTTATTTTCCTAGATATGACTTGAAAAGTACCAAAAGTTGTAAATCTGACGAAGAAACGGAAATTTAGGAGGGAAAAAATCAAGAGTTTCTTTAAAAATACTTTGACGTTTCCTGTCATGGCCCATAGAGGTGGAGGCTTATATGGAATTCTTTCCAGTGTTCCTAACGTGGCGCACTTGAACAAATCCCCAAAAATCCCACATTAACATTTAAGAAATTCTTTAAAGTTGTTAACTTCTGATAAATCATGATTATCCCAACTCACATACCCAACTACAAGTTTGTCACATTTACGTAAGCCGCATAAATCTGTGGCATCATGACTGTACCGCGTAGAGTGCGCGGGGACCTGGCCAGCTGTAGGGCGGCAAGGCATGCACGCGCACGCTGTCAAAATGTCAAGTTGGAAAACGGTCGAGTTGTCCGACCCCATGGGTACAAAGCCTATGGAGAAAATAACGTGCACAATGCCTATGGAGAAAAGAACGTGTACAAACACTATGGAGAAAAGAACGTGTACAAACCCTATGGAGAAAAGAACGTGTACAAACCCTATGGAGAAAAGAACGTGTACAAAACCTATGGAGAAAAGAACCTGTACAAACCCTGTGGAGAAAAGAACGTGTACAAACCCTATGGACAAGATATTGAGATATATCATCTCAATGAAGCATTTGTTGCAAAAATGATGATAAGACATGAATCTGGGACTGAGAAATGTTTCCAATTTCGTTAGGAAATACTTGAAATGACTTACCATAGACTTTGTTCATAAGCCCAAAAGTGGCATCAGGTTGCAAATTTTTTTTCCTGGCGTGTTTAGCATGTGTATCGCCACACCCGTACAACCAAGTCATTTTGTGTGTATAGGCTCCTTACATCAAAATGGATGGTTCAGACGACGATTTATTTCTGAATAAACGTCCTATTCATGCTCATTATGGAGAACAATTGTCCGACATGTGCACAGTGCGTTTGATTTCGTTCAAAGATAAAATCTTGAAGTACTTTGTTTATTTCTGTAGTGTATTTATTCTGGGCGTCTTTCGATTTTGAAGAAAAAAACTTGACACATTACACACAAAATTACATATAATGACACTCTACAAAGAATATGAAAAAAAACACCCTAGCTCTGTCCAAAAAAAATATTATCATACAAATTCCAAAAATTAATGCAAACCCCCCCCCCCCCCCTTCTCCCTGCTGTCACACCCCCAAAAAATTTGACGGTATAATGTCCGCCTGTTCAAAATACGGTAGACCATTCTGTAATGTAGTGTTAATAATCGTCGAATTTGAACAGCGCCCCCTATTGAAATGTGGTACCAGCCCGCCCCCCCCCCCCCCCCCCTCCCAGTATTTTATTTTATGGAGGCCAAGTGTCCGGCGGAAAAAAACCTGTGTACATTTTCAGATTTTTTTGCTGATGACCCCCCCCCCCCGCAAAAATTCCTGGATCTGCCCCTGTTACTGTATGTGAAGAGTGTCAAAGGGGTGGTTTGAAGTGTTCTGTTTGTTTACTTTTTGTCTGGCTGGTTCAAATTAAGTATCATTTTCAGTGATATGATTTATATTTATGTTTGTTGTGGGTGGATACTTGGACCGATATCAGTTCAAATAGTTGACAGAATACAGGCCACCTACAACGGCAGCGAGACAGAGGTTGATAATTACAGACGGTTCAAATGTCATTGCTGAGTGGTGCTTGCTTACATTGCATCAGTGATGTGAATCTCATCACTACACTTACTGTAGGCACTCATTGATGGTATGACAAGATTGGATATTTGCTCATCACTACGTGCATTTGATGGTATTTGTGTCCTCAAAGTCAAAATAAAGAAGTGGGGTAGGGGTGGGGTTGAATCTTTCGATGCTTGGGGTTGGGGAGGTGGGTGTGGCTGTCCAAAGTTCATACATGTATTGGCATGATGAGGGTCCCTTCCAGACAGGTTCTTATGATAAATGTACCATCAGCAAATAATGAGTATGGACATGGAGGCTCTGATACGGAGCATGGGGGTAAATGAGGAGAGGGAAAACATGGGCGGGGCATGCCCCTCCTCCACCCACTGCTGTTCTGGATGATTTTATGCACTAGAATGAAGGTTGCCAAAATGGTGTTTAAGTTCCTTCCCACACAAAGTTAACTGTTATGTCTTTATATCCAAACAGTAATGGACGTGTGAACTCCTTCACTGCCACAGTCAGCTACAGAGTAACGCCTTCCATGGGTTAAAGGTGAGTGAACTAATTGATCTACATGTATTAGACATAATGAAGTCACGCTTTGTTTACATGTGTGCTTTCCTACGGGAGCTTGGTGGCTCTCATGCCCACCTGGCTCTGATAGAAAAGCACACATGTAAACAAAGCGTGACGTCAATAGTTCTATTAATGACTGCAATACTTTCCTTTCTGCTGATAAGGAGTGTTCACCTTATTTAAACCATTGTGACTGAATGATGTGACTTGTAAAATAAACTGGGTCTCCAATTTAAAGTTTAAAGCTCCAACATGCTCAAATAAAAAACTACTTTGGACTTTTATTGTCAAGGTGGCAGGAAGTTTTGCTGGTCACGTAGCAAGAATTGTTTTTGGGGGTGGGGTGCTATATCACTGAAGGGCCAGCTTAGTGTATTGCTTTTAGCTGACTAACCAACTATCCAAACAACTGACAGACTGACCGACTGACCAACTGACAGGACCAACCGATCAAGCGATGACCGACCAACCGACAGGGCGACCAATCGATCCACCGATTGACCGACCAACTGTCTGATGGAGCGACCAACCGATCGACTGACCTACTGACTGACTCCCCGACTCCCCAACCGACGGATGGAGCGACCAACCGATCGACTGACCTACTGACTGACTGACCAACGGAGTGACCAACCAATCGACTGACCTTCTGACTGACAGACCAACGGAGTGACCAACCAATCGACTGACCTACTGACTGACTGACCAATGGAGTGACCAACCGATCAACTGACCTACTGACTGACAGAATGATGGAGTGACCAACCGTTCGACTGACCTACTGACTGACTGACCAACAGAGTGACCAACCAATCAACTGACCTACTGACTGACAGAATGACGGAGTGACCAACCGATAGACTGACCTACTGACTGACTCCCCAACGGAGTGACCAACCAATTGACTGACCTAATGACTGACAGACCGACGGAGTGACCAACCAATAGACTGACCTACTGACTGACTGACCAACGGAGTGACCAACCAATTGACTGACCTACTGACTGACTCCCCAATGGAGTGACCAATCGATCGACTGACCTACTGACTGACTCCCCAACGGAGTGACCAACCAATCGACTGACCTACTGACTGACTGACCGATGGAGTGTCCAACCGATCGACTGACCTACTGACTGACTCCCCGACGGAGTGACAAACCAATCGACTGACCTACTGACTGACGCCCCAATGGAGTGACCAACCGATTGACTGACCTACTGACTGACAGACCGACGGAGTGACCAACCAATCGACTGACCTACTGACTGACAGACCGACGGAGTGACCAACCAATTGACTGACCTACTGACTGACTCCCCGACGGAGTAACAAACCAATCGACTGACCTACTGACTGACGCCCCAACGGAGTGACCAACCAATCGACTGACCTACTGACTGACAGACCGATGGAGTGACCAACCGATCAACTGACCTACTGACTGACTCCCCGACGGAGTGACAAACCAATCGACTGACCTACTGACTGACTCCCCAATGGAGTGACCAACCGATTGACTGACCTACTCCCCGACAGACCGATGGAGTGAACAACCACTTGCCTGACCTACTGACTGACTGACCGACGGAGTGACCAACCAATCGACTGACCTACTGACCGACTGACAGACGGAGTGACCAACCGATCGACTGACCTACTGACTGACTCCCCGACGAAGTGACCAACAGATCCACTGACCTACTGACTGACTTCCAGAGGAAGTGACCAGCCGATCGACTGACCTACTGACTGACTGACCGACAGAGAGATCAACCGATCAACTGACCTACTGACTGATCGACTCCCCAACGGAGTGACCAACCGATCGTCTGTCCTACTGACTGACTGACCGACGGAGTGACCAACTGACCGACTGACCTTCTGACTGACTCCACGATGGAGTGACCAACCGATCAACTGACCTACTGACTGACTGACCGACGGAGTGACCAATCAATCGACTGACCTACTGACTGACTCCCCAACTGATGGAGCTACATGTACCAACCGATCGATTGACCTACTGACTGACTGACCAACTGATGGAGCTACCAACCCATCGACTGACCAGACTGACTGACCAACTGATGGAGCTACCAACCGATCGACTGACCTACTGACTGACTGACCAACTGATGGAGCTACCAACCGATCGACTGACTTTAAGTCAGTCGATCGGTTGGTCGCTCCGTACTGACTGACTGACCGACCGACTGGTAAACTCACTGGCCGACTGACTGACCAACCGACTGAGTCACCAACTGATCGATTGGCCGACCAACCAACCTCCCGACTGATAGAGCAACCAACCCACCGACCAACCAACCAACAGAGCGACCCGACCAACCTACCAACCAATCGACCGCTTGACCGACCGACCAACAGAGCGACCAACTGACCGATGGACTGACTGACCAACCAATCGACCACCCAACTGACCAACCAACAGAGCAACGAACTGATCGACTGAACGACAGATTGACTGACCAACCAACAGACTGACCAACCGACTGACTGACCTATATAGCAGGCATGCAACAATTCCTCAGATCCGCTAATTTTCTTGTGTTTTGCTTCTCGTGAATACCATTACAAATTGCAAAACACTGTACCAAGTCTTGTGGGGTTTGGAAATCCCTGGGGTTTTTTTTAATTCCCAGTTGCATGCCTGATATAATGACCAACCGGTCGACCAACGGACTGATGGACTAATTGACTGACCAACAGCATCCATTTTGTGATTTTACCCGATTGTACTTTGCACACACAGGATTATACCAGGTTGGACTACCGAAGCTGTCTGCAAGTAAACTGTGCCCACATCACCAGCGCTAAATGGCAGAACCACTGGATGAGGGAGCCCAAAGACGAAATGAGACACAAACGCTGCGGACACAAACTAACCCTGGTCCAAGCACAGCACAAGACATTCAGACAACTCCGACCCAACAAGTACCAGCTGGTAATGAACAACCTTCCCAGCAGGAACCAACGCAACAACCACCGCCACAACTACAGCCAAGACCGGGTGAGACACAAACTAACCCTGGTCCAAGCACAGCACCAACCAGTCAGGGAGCTCCGACCCAACAACTACCGGCTGATGGAGTGAGGGATGCTCAACAAACAACTCAGTCTGGCAGCATACAGCCTTCCCAGCAGGAACCAATGCCACAACCACCGTCTCAACTACAGCCAAGACCGGGTGAGACACAAACTAAGCCTGGTCCAAGCACAGCACCAACCAGTCAGGAAGCTCCGACCCAACGACTACCGGCTGATGGAGTGAGGGATGCTCAACAAACAACTCAGTCTGGCAGCATACAGCCTTCCCAGCAGGAACCAACGCAACAACCACCACCGCATATACAGCCAAGACCGGGTGAGACACAAACTAACCCTGGTCCAAGCACAGCACCAACCAGTCAGGGAGCTCCGACCGAACAACCACCGGCTGATGGAGTGAGGGATGCTCAACAAACAACTCAGTCCGGCAGCATACTGCCTTCCCAGCAGGAACCAATGCCACAACCACCGTCTCAACTACAGCCAAGACCAGGTGAGACACAAACATTTGTCTGTAAACCCTGCATGTTATGACTCCCCTGGCCCTGATATCGGTTCCCTGACAGCATCCTTCCCCTCCATCCTTTGCATTGACGCTATTAGGCACAATATACAGAATAGCATGAGTCCCTGAAACAAGGGGGACCGCACTGGTGACCTGCCCCCCTCACCCCATGGTGAATTACTCGGAGCATCCGTACTACACAATACCACAACCAATTAGTAACTAATTAAAACACCGATAAGGTCACACTATTCCAATCCCTCTAACAGTTAACGCTTAAATCCTTCCCACCTAAAAGAAACAAAGATTCACCCCGTTGAAGTTTGGACTGATATTCAACTTCCGGTGCGATTCTGCAAATTTCAAATTGGCACTGAAACCGAGGGCCTCAGTACTGAGAGAAATAAAAAAGAAAAGGTCATCAGACCTGGAAAATGCAAATGAGGATCACTCAGAGAGGATACGGCTTTTTGTTAATACAAATTTTCAAATGAATCATGCTTTCTGCCCAGCAACGTTGACGAAAAAGTCGTATCTGGTTTTTTTATCTTTGAATTTTTTACAGCAGATTAGTATATAAAGAAATTCACTAGAGTGAGATTTGAACAGACAACCTCTGAATCACCGTTCCAGTGCTCTATTAACTGACCTATTGAGCCATATTTTGCATTTTTCTGATTGGTGCCTCTTCACAGAACATAATTCACTATACTTACGTATTAGTACTCATCTATTATTGAATACATTAGGAAAGAAAGGCATAAAACCCTGTTTTATGTGACCACTGCCTCAATCCTGCAAAATCCTTCGGCAATCACTGTTAATTTGTTGAGGCAGAGCCAGTGACATCCTGGAGCAGTGCGGAGGATTAGTACCATGGGCGTCGCCAGGATTTTTTCTAGAGGGGGCCAAAAAATTCCTGTATTTCTCAACATATTCCGAATTTCTCAGTTTTAGAAGGGGGCTGGGACATTTTGCCCCCCAATAAAATTCATTAAATGTACACCACTATGACTTCGCGTCTCTTTTTTTTTTTCTTCTGTTTTTTTTGTCTTCCTTTTTTTTTTGCTTTTCCAGGTGGGGGGCAAGCGCGCCCCCTTCCCCCCCCCCCCCTCGCGACGCCCATGATTAGTACATGTATAATGTAGGCCTAAATATGTGTGGCTGAGCATAAACAACAAAAGGTCCAGTGCATCCTGCAAAATCAGACACACATTTCTGCCATAAAGCCTCAATTTTCTGCAAAATGTTCCATTTTGCCGAGAGGATATGGGGAGGTTAGGCCCTAAAAAGTTTCCAGTTTCTGGTTTGCACGTGCGTCGCTGTAGCCATGCCCGTCAGCAAAATTAACTAGACGGACGTTGTGTTTGTAGGTAAACAAACACCGAGCTGTTCCGGTGTTTTTTCTGTCTTTGAATGAAAAAGATTGATGTGGCCATCGGCGGCTATCGAACCCAGAACCTTTGTGTGGGGATTCCAAGTTTTTGCCGTGTGCCAAGTGTGTGAAGTCGATTTATGTCGGACGTCCTAAATCCACGTGGTTCAATGTGTGCGCAGTCCTCTTTTCTTTGCGTTTGGGAACGGGTGCGCGTGCAAAGCGTACATGTAGGTGGGTGATTCCATAAATTTAGGGTCCAATTTTGGTGTCCGAGTTACATCTGACTTATGTAAGATTTTGTAATTCAGGACACATGTCTCTGATTCTAAGAGTGATTATGTAAAGCAAACTACCTGGTAAACAAATAAAAAATAGTGTGAAGTCATTTTTATTGACACTTGAATGGCAAATTAACAGGTCCGGTGTAACAGGGACACCAAAAATGTCACACTTTTGGACCCCTTATTTATGGACATACCCAGGTGCGCAGATGATGATAGCGGGTCGAGGATAGATTTAGGAAAGTGTCAAAGTGTACCTGTATTTAGCAACTTATTTCTGGTGTCTATATTTGAAGTAGGAAAAACGAAATGTGTTCAACTATGTTGGGAGTGAAAATACCAATAGTACTGAGTAGACGAGAAGGGAATTAAATTTAATGACGTCTTGGAAAGAATTCCATATACGGACTCCAGTTATTTTCCTAGATATGACTTGAAAAGTACCAAAAGTTGTAAATCTGACGAAGAAACGGAAATTTAGGAGGGAAAAAATCAAGAGTTTCTTTAAAAATACTTTGACGTTTCCTGTCATGGCCCATAGAGGTGGAGGCTTATATGGAATTCTTTCCAGTGTTCCTAACGTGGCGCACTTGAACAAATCCCCAAAAATCCCACATTAACATTTAAGAAATTCTTTAAAGTTGTTAACTTCTGATAAATCATGATTATCCCAACTCACATACCCAACTACAAGTTTGTCACATTTACGTAAGCCGCATAAATCTGTGGCATCATGACTGTACCGCGTAGAGTGCGCGGGGACCTGGCCAGCTGTAGGGCGGCAAGGCATGCACGCGCACGCTGTCAAAATGTCAAGTTGGAAAACGGTCGAGTTGTCCGACCCCATGGGTACAAAGCCTATGGAGAAAATAACGTGCACAATGCCTATGGAGAAAAGAACGTGTACAAACACTATGGAGAAAAGAACGTGTACAAACCCTATGGAGAAAAGAACGTGTACAAACCCTATGGAGAAAAGAACGTGTACAAAACCTATGGAGAAAAGAACCTGTACAAACCCTGTGGAGAAAAGAACGTGTACAAACCCTATGGACAAAAAATGCACCTTTAATGTTACGTAACTTGACACTTGATGACGTCATGATTACGAATTTCTTCTAGGACCATCTGTGGATGGTGGTCTAAGTGTGTGCCAAGTCTGAGGTTGATGCAATTTAAGAAAGTGCCAAAGTGCCCTTGCTGAAGAAAAAACGTGTACAAATCCTACGGAGAAGAGTCTGAAAGAGAAAAAGAAAGAACAAAAAAAAAAAAAAATTAGAGGTATGCGTTTGTGGACAAACGCAAGCTGTTTCGGCTGTGACGTGTGTTGATGACATGACGACATCACCTCAAATTTCATAGATATTTGATACGTACATTAGTTACAAGCAAATGGAATCTCTAGTTATACAAATACCATACAATATAGGCCCTGACAATTATCCCTTTAATGACGGCACATGACGTGATAATGTTTGAAGCAAATCCAAGTTCGAAGCCAATAGAACTAGCACTTTCAGAGATAAATGGTGTGAAATATAATAAATACTATAACTTGAATGTTTGGTCACATGGTATGCGATGACGTCATGAAGGCGTCATCATGGTGTGATCATGACGTATAATGTGGTTTTGTACTCATAACACACCCTGGAATACTTGCGTACCAGCTTTGAACCCAATCGGACTGGACCTCCTAGAGATAGAGAATCTTGATAACTATAGCCGTCAGGTGATACTGTACAATGATACGTACGTCATTGTGGCGAAAATTGTTTTTGAGCCATCAGTGTGTGGTGTTGTTAAATCTAATGCGATCAGCTTTAGCAAACTGCCAAAATATAATTATTAGCTGAAGAAAACATGTAATCCTGTTTGTATCCAGCCCCCTAAAAGCCATGGCTAACCTCCAACACGGAGTGGCCTGTCATGACATTTGGCCTGCGTGTCATTTTGCTTGTGTCGATCTGTGACTTTGGCCTTACATGTATTGTCCTGGCTATGGCCATGAGTGCCGGACCAATGCAGTTGCACGTCACGAACATTTTTGGGCATTTCGTCACAGGAAACACTAGAGGGCAGCAAACAACTTTAACAGTAACATGATTCATGTTGAGAGTGAAAATACCAATAGTACTGAGCAGACGAAAAGGGAATTAAATTTAATGACGTCTTGGAAAGAATTCCATATACGGACTCCAGTTATTTTCCTAGATATGACTTGAAAAGTACCAAAAGTTGTAAATGTGACGAAGAAACGGAAATTTAGGAGGGGAAAAAACCAAGATTTTCTTTAAAAATACTGTTCCTGTCATGGCCCATAGAGGTGGAGGCTTATATGGAATTCTTTCCAGTTTCCTAACGTGGCGCACTTGAACAAATCCCAAAATATCCCACATTAACATTTAAGAAATTCTTTAAAGTTGTTAATCTCTGATAAATCATGATTATCCCAACTCACATACCCAACTACAAGTTTGTCACATTTACGTAAGCCGCATAAATCTGTGGCATCATGACTGTACCGCGTAGAGTGCGCGGGGACCTGGCCAGCTGTAGGGCGGCAAGGCATGCACGCGCACGCTGTCAAAATGTCAAGTTGGATAACGGTTGAGTTGTCCGACCCCATGGGTACAAAGCCTATGGAGAAAACAACGTGCACAATGCCTATGGAGAAAAGAACGTGTACAAACCCTAAGGAGAAAAGAACGTGTACAAACTCTATGGAGAAAAGAACGTGTACAAACTCTATGGAGAAAAGAACGTGTACAAAACCTATGGAGAAAAGAACGTGTACAAAACCTATGGAGAAAAGAACGTGTACAAACCCTATGGACAAGAAATGCACCTTTAATGTTACGTAACTTGACACTTGATGACGTCATGATTACGAATTTCTTCTAGGACCATCTGTGGATGGTGGTCTAAGTGGGTGCCAAGTCTGAGGTTGATGCAATTTAAGAAAGTGCCAAAGTGCCCTTGCTGAAGAAAAAACGTGTACAAACCCTATGGAGAAGAGTCTGAAAGAGAACTAGAGCTGTATGTCTGTTTGCAAACAGAACACAGGGCTTTTTCGCATTTTACAAATATTTGTTTCGTTTGTCCTTTTGCAGTCACTTTTCAGAGTGCTTTATGCAGTTAAAGGTTGTTCAAAACGCTTAGAATAATTCCTAAAGTATAATTTTATCAAATGATGTCACTTGCCCTGCAATGACGTCATCCTTAAGACCCTTCTCAATGCACATTTTGTCATTGTGATTTTGGTTTGAACCAAGTTTAATGTCAATCCGGTGAAAGAAAGTGTGCAATTTGTGGAAGCACAATAAAATTTAAAATATCTTAAAATTATAAAAACCAAACGATGACGTCATCGTGACGTCACTTTAAACTTTGTATACTAGTACCATTATTTACCTACCCATTAAGTTTCATGACAGTCGGACCTTTCCTTATATGTGTATTTTGAAAATCGCATTTTTATGACGTCATAATGATGTCAGATATTTTGTTCAAAATGTTGTGCAAATACCTTTTACCTAACAGACCAAATACACAAAGAATTTTTAATTTTGCATGTTACGTTCATGAGATATGGCTAAAAGGTCAAAAACCTCAAATATTCATATAAAATCTCCGGATGACGTCATCATGGCGTCACCTAATTGGTTTTTTTACCTATAACACATCCCGGTCTAGCCACATACCAAGTTTCAACCCAATCAGGCTTACAGTTCTGTAGATATAGGACAACATAATATGCACGTAAATTTTCAAAAATCAATAAACAAAATTGGGTGATGACGTCATCATGACGTCATAGTCTTGGCATAGTTTTTGTATGAGGGTCTTCCTTGGCTGTTACATTGATGACGATTCCAGATCGCCAAGTTATAGAAATGGTGGCTTGAAAACGTGTACAAAGTCAATGGGCTAACACGTGTACAAAGTTAACGGGCTAAACAAAATCCCACTGCAGAAAAATTGCACCTTTAATTTGTAATTTGCCTTTGAACTGAAACATTTTTATGAAATATTACTTGATATTCTGACCCTTAGGAATATGTTCAATCGAATGACAGACCGAAAAAAATACGATTTCTCTTTCCTTCTCATAGTAATTCTCGGCTGAGGTTCAGAACTACTCAGTAAGATATCAGTGTTGTGTAGGAAAAGACTTGTGGAAAATCCCACTGCAGAAAAACTGCACCTTTAAATACGTAACATAGGGCTTTTCGGCATTATGATTTTTTATTATACGCCCCTGACTATGCGTATGCATGAACATAAAATCTGTCAAGGTTAGCCGAAAATCGGCTAAAACGGTCACTGTGATGTGGACAGGATTTGACCTCGTCAACACGTGCTCTGCAGGCTGACTGACATACGATGTACAGTATGTGCGTAACGTACGTGTATGTACATGTACATATAGACGTTCTGTGCATGTTTTAGAGCAGAGGTATTGTCAACCTGAAGTTTTAAGCGTGCGCAGGGCATGTCCGAGTTCGCTTATTGCCTCGAAGCTTTGATATGTTTTAGACCTACCCTTAAATCGACAATTAAAGTAAAAACTAACATAAAAACTGCCATGGTTGATTTTTCAGGAATTTTCAAATGAAAAAGGGTCTTTTTATTATAACTTCCGGTCTGATGACGTCATTTGCCTAAAACTTCGCACACGTCTTAAGTGGGTCAAGGTCATTATATACACCAATATTTAGGCGATTCCGACAAACTTCGCCACAGACATCTATTCAAAATACTTTTTTGCTAATTTTCAACCTGTCGCTAGAGGGCGCTCGAAGATTGCATGACGTCATCTGTAGACGATTTGAAGAATACTTTTAGCCAAGAGACTAACACCGTTAAAAGCAAGTTCATTTCTATTACAACTTTTAAATAATAAGCCACTTCCGGTTTGGGCCTTTTTCGACCGGAAGCAAGGGTCACGTGATTGCACGCACACTGAATGAAATAAAGACCTCAACCTACTCTACCACTTGCCGGCAACAGAATGCTGCGGACGCGGACGGTTGATTTCTTATGCATTTTTAAATATTAAAAGTGTCACAATTTAATTGCCTATAAATAAACACTGGATGACGTCATCATGACGTCATCATATCACAATGTTGTTTGAATTAGGGTCTTTGCTTGGACAAAGATTGGTGTAAATGAATTACTGGCAAAGAGTCGAAAATGCCCTTTGAAAATCGACAATTTTTTCTTAATTTTTGTGTACAAAGTCTATGGGAAAAATTAAATATTCAAAAATCTATAATAAATTAGTCAATGACGTCACCATGACGTCACTCTTCGGGGCACATCTCTGCTATAAGGACTATGACTATGCTTAATTTGAATGATGTAAGACGAAGATTAATACCAAAAGTGGCACTGAGAAAAAACGTGTACAAAGTCTATGGGATTTAGGCGACAAAAAGAAGAAGAAGAAGAAGAAGAAGAAAGAAAAAAAATGAGAACAGAAAGAAAGGCTTTTTCGCAAAATTGCGAAAAAGCCAAAAAAAAAATCTTAACGAAAACAAGAGCTGTTTCGGTGTGTACACCGAAACAGCTAAAAATCTTAACGAAAACAAGAGCTGTTTCGGTGTGTACACCGAAACAGCTAAAAAAAAAAGAAAAAAAAAAAAGAAAAAAAAAAAATTTAACGAAAACAAGAGCTGTTTCGGTTGTAACCGAAACAGCTAAAAAGATTTTTTTTAATGTAAGATGATGTCTCAAAACTAACAAACTCACTGGTTTGCCTGGAATCCTGCTGCTGCACAATTTTAACGTGTTTTAGAGGTGGTTACGATCAAGTATTAGCTTTATGTGGCCTCTCTGGGCACCCATATATTTTGCACTAAATTTAGTCGGGCACCATTTGCACACGGTGTTGTAATTTTGTTATTGTGCGTCTGGAAGCCAGAGTGAGGGAGCGATGGTCGTGTATCTGTAAATGCATTTTAATTAGCGCAATATGTAAGGGAGCAGACTAATGACCAGCCTGGCAGCTCATGCGTGATGTCAATGTTGCTGTATGGTCTGACATTACCGTTTTCCCTGATGTTTGTCTTGACTATCTAAATTTCCTGAAGAATATTCGTGTCGGTCGAGATCGTAAGTGGGTCAGACTTCTCAAGCTTTATGGCCTTACTGAGTCATCTCAAGCTCCACTCTGAAGGATATTTTTGAGGGTTTTATGGGGATCGAAGTGTCATCTGCAACATACATGACATATCAGCCGATATTTGAAGAAGAAAAAAGAGGGGCCAAAAAAAGAAAAACCTGCGTCACCAGACAACTTTTGGGGCAAGCTCCATACCAGAAACCGCAGACTTTGTTTTGGTCTTAGGGTTAACGGGGGATTATACTGTAGAAAACTCTGTCCTTTTATGTTACATGCGATCATTTTTATTTTCAGATAATGTCATGAGAGCCCTGGAAGCAGATGCCAAGGAGCGCGCAAAGAAGCGTAAAGCAGAGGCGACGGTTCTAAAAGATCAAGGGAACCAAGCGTTCAACAAGGGTGATTACACACGAGCCGTTAAACTCTACACGCAGGGCCTGGAACGTCTAAAAGACTTTGTGGTGCTGTACACCAACAGGGCACAGGTAAACAAGTCAAGTCAAGTCTCTTATGAGCTAGTCCGAGTAACTAGGACTCCACAGAGACATGGTCGGGCGATAATGTTAAACAAGCGATCTGTTGAGTCCTAGTTACTCGGACTAGTTATGAGCCAAGATCCAAGTGGAGGTGAAGGCTTGTGAGAGAGATACGCAATGTTTTAATTTATTTCCTGAAAAGTTTTCATGTAAAGAAGAGAGAAAAAAGAAAGGAAAACATATCATTTTGGGAGGGGGGCCAACTCATCTTTACATGTATGTTTGCCATCCCAGGCAACACACCTGTTATCCTGTTAAGACATACAACGCTTCGTTGTTCACTATATATGCGGCAAATTCAAATCCCCTCTTTTCACTTATATCCCCCCCCCCCCCTCAGGCTTACAACAAATTGGAAAAGTTTACAGAGGCAATGGAGGACTGCTGGACTGCCTTGCAGTTGGAACCAAACAACGTCAAGGCATTGGTGCACCTCGGCAAGGCCCAGCAGGGACTGAAGGATTACGAGGTGGCTGTTACGACTTTCCAAGAAATCCTCAAGATTGACGAGAAATATGAGAAAATGGTCGCAGGTGGGTCAGCAGTGTTCAGGCCAAATGCACAAACATGTGATGCAATCATGCTAAATGAGTCATTTGTCGGCCCTTATCGAATTTTGTGGTTTTTTTTTACATATTTGAATAGAGCTGTATTTCAGTTTATATTTGGTGAAAACCCCACATGAATACAACCTTCTGTTTAGAAGTTATGGGACTTAGAACACAGGCAAAACAGAGAATCAAATAGAGAAATCAACGATTCAAAATAGTAGTGTTTATTACACAACAATAAACATGCTTTATTTCAGGTTATTGACATTAACTCTTTAGCAAAAATGCAACATTTTAAATACTTTATCGTGATATTTTCTCGGGGAAAAAAAGTTGACATTGAAAGAGGACGTGTAGCTCTCCAATTTTACAAAAAAGTCAATTTTGAAATTTTCACCCTGACTGAACTATTTTGGGCTGTATCTTAAAATCAGAATTGCCAACAAACGACTCATTTAGTTTGATCGCATCACACATGTGAATGTGAACGCGAATCTGAAGCTAATTTGAAGTCATTCAGGACACGTATTTAAATGAGTTAAAATGTTTGCAGATCCACAGTGCATTTATTTGCTGATAATTTTTGTGGATTTTTTTTCATTTTCCAACAATCTCACCCCTGTACTAGGCTACATTGCAGCCGTGAATCTAGCCGAGTCCACAGCCAAGTCTGATACGGAGGCTGAGAGGCTGTTTAGTGAGGGTGACGTCAAAGCAACGGGTGTTCATGAGATCGGACTCAGTGATGGTAAGCAAAAACTCTGCAATAATTTAAGAAAAATACAAATAAGAAATTGAATGTTTCTTATCCCAAAAATGTTTGTTTTACAGCATTTCATATAATCTTGAATTTTGGTTTCACTATAGACCCTTTGTTGGTTGTGCCATGGCAGTGGGCAGCAGTCGATTTCATAAAAAAAAGTGCGCAGCTTGTGCCATGAGTAAGACTTACGCAACAAATTTGTTGCCCAGCTGGGCAATAAACTTACGATCGATTTCACAAAGCTTGGCGCAGCTGCACAATGCTTTAAATAATTTAAGCATCTTTGACGAGGATAAAAGCCACATTTACGACGGCTGTTTGTGTGTGAATTTTTTTGTTTGCAAAACAGTCGTTGGATCACCTCAGCCCGCCATTTTGAAAATTATTTTGTCCGTCTTGTATCAACCTTGATAAGTTGTGCAATAACAAGCTCTGTGACAGTCCTGATATGCTGGTATTAAACATGTCATTTTCAGTCGCTACGCCACAACTTAGGCCACCTAAAATGATGGTGCAAGTAACATCGTAATTTATTGCGCAACCTGTGGACTTACGCACTATGTGACTTTAGTGAATTGTGTCATAATTGAAATGTTGCGCAACTTACACAATAAATTTTGGCTCAAGCAGAGTTGCGCCAATACGTAAGATTTTGTGAAATCGGCTGCTGGTCTGTCTTTTCTGCATTATTTTTTATATGGTGTAAGTCAAGGACACACGCAACATTATCAATGAATCGAGGACAGAAACCGAATCGAGGACTCCTCGGTTGGGAAATGTGTACAAACCAATGAGAGCTGTTGCAAAAAAGTTAAGGTACAAACAAAGGAAAAGGGAAGAGGAACAAAAGAAAATTCTCAATTTACACCATTAACAAAACTCCTGTTAACTCTTTAGGCCATCAGCATGGGGGTTTGGTCGGTATCGAATCAGGGCATAAATGATTATAGTGGGCATGCGCAAGGCATACCCCTAGAGTGGTAACAAGCATTTTGATGGACAATTTGAGAAAAAGGGTGATAACTCCTTAAAAGCTGCCACCGCTGCAATGCTATCACATATTTTCCAACTCTGGAGATGTATACCTTGCAAAAAATTGCTATGACGATTATTCCCCTCATTTGATACCGGTTGCCAAAATTTTGGACCGAGGCTGATGGCCTGCTTGTTAAGCACGATAACTTGAGAAATACTTTACTCAGGAACTTGACATTTCGTTTGTGGATTGTTCTGGATAGTTTTAACAGGCCTATTAATTTTGGGGCCAACAGGTCAAAGGTCAAGGTCACTATTGCTTAAACAAAAGAAATCTTGTCAACGAGTTAACTTGAGAAATACTTTACTTAAAGAACTTGAAATTTGGTTTGTGGGTTCTTGGTAGTCTTAAGAAGCCTATTGCTTTTGGGACCGACAGGTCAAAGGTCAAGGTCACTATTGCTAAAACAATAGGAATCTTGTCAACGCGATAACTTGAGAATAAATACGTAGGAGCTTTAAATTCGGTTTGTGGGTTGTCTGTTGTTCTTGATAGTCTTAAGAGGCCTGTTGCTTTTGGGGCCGACAGCTAGGTCAAGGTCACTAATTGCTGTATAGTCAGCATGAATGCTTGAGAAATACTTTACTTAGGAACTTCAAATTTGGTTTGTGGGTTGCTCTTACCGTAACCACAGTAACAGACAGTCAAGCAGCTCTGACCCAACAACTACCAGATGATCAACAAACAACTCAGTCTGGCAGTGGACAGCCTTCCCAGCAGGAACCAACGCAACAACCTCTGCCGCAACTACAGCCAAGACCGGGTGAGACACAAACATTTGTCTGTAAACCCTGCATGTTATGACTCCCCTGGCCCTGATATCGGTTCCCTGACAGCATCCTTCCCCTCCATCCTTTGCATTGACGCTATTAGGCACAATATATAGCGTAGCAGCGTCCCTGAAACAAGGGGGACCACACTGCCGACCAGCCCCCTGTCAGCCCAGAGAGGGGGCTCTCGGGATTGAATGGGACTTTTCACTTTTCATAGAGATCTGTGAAGTTCCAGTGTGCATGGAGGCCTAATTACTCCCCTGTTTTACTGGTAGTTTGATTAAATTACACAAATTTTAAACTTGAACTCAACGTACATGTACATGTTCAAGCAATTTGTTTTAATTGATACACTGACAATTTAAACTTGAAACAAACCATTAGAAAGCATCCTTGCAACAGTTTACAAACTAAGTCTATGCAGTTATTCAGAAGTAAATTACATGAAAATAATTATGCAGACAAAAATCCATGGTTTTCAAGTGAAGAACAGGAGAAACTTAAAAGGCTTGTAAAAGCAACAGTGTATTTTAAACGACAGAGCATCTAGAATCCAAAAATTTCCCGGTGCCCCTAAGCCGCCCCGGACCCCACGCCCTAAGACATTTCCCCTCCGCTCTCACATTAGTCCTCGGGCAGAAGCCCCTATTCGCATCCTTTCAACAGTGTTCAAACTATAAGCCTATCCAATTCCTTTTCATAAATAAAATGCATGAAAATAAATATGCAGACAAAAATACATGGTTATCAAGTGAAGGACAGAAGAAACTTAAAAGGCTTGTAAATACAAGAGAAAATTAGAAAACAAAAACAACATGTGTTACCGCAAACCGAAATGAAAATGAAAAAATCCTTAGTATCTTAAAACATTTTACTCTTAACCCAGGGCTATAGGGGAAAGAGAGGGCCAGGAATCACCTCAAATTTGCACCACAGAGCATCTCGAATCCAAAATTTCTCATGGCTTTTTATAATAATAATAATAATAACACAGTTTTTATATAGCGCTTCACACCAAGGTCTTGATGCGCTTCACAGAAAACAACAATTAAAAGCAATTAATGGAACAGGTAAGTTTTAAGGAGTGTTTTAAATTCATTTTCGGCATTGACAGTTCTAATATGGTGTGGGAGAGAGTTCCAAAGCTATGGTGATGCATGCATGAAGGAACGATGTCCATAAGTCTTAGTGCAAGTGACCGGCATACTGAGCAGCAATGTTGAGCTAGAGCGGAAGGTGCGTTGTGGCTGGTATACTTGAATAAGTTCACGGAGGTATGCTGGTGCTGAGCCGTGGATGCATTTGTGAGTTAGGAGTAGAATCTTGAAGGCGATTCGCTCACTGACAGGTAGCAAGTGAAGGCTGCGAAGAATAGGGGTTATATGTTGCCTGGATGATGTACGTGTAACGAGTCTGGCGGCGGAATTCTGAATGCGCTGAAGTTTCGAGGTTTGAGAATCAGGAATACAGTGTAGGAGACTATTGCAGAAATCGAGGCGGCAAGAGATAAAAGCATGGACAAGCTTTTCCGTCGTTTGTTGGTCGAGGAAATTTCGAATTTGTCCTATTTTGTGGAGAGCTAGGTAAGAAGAGCGGCATATGTTGTTGACCTGGTTTTGCATTCTACAGTTTGACGTGATAATAGTTCCAAGGTCACGGGCGCTAGTGACAGGTCTGGTGCAGGAGTCGGAGATGCAGATACTTTCAATTGGAATATGTTGCTTAAACTGAGATGTGATGTGAATGACTTCAGTTTTGTCGCCATTCAATTTGAGCTTATTGGTTGTGGACAAAGACTGTATGTGTGTGAGGCATGACTCCAGTCGCTGAATGACGTCAGGATGCTGCTGTTCTGTCATGGTGACGTAAAGTTGAATATCATCAGCGTAGATCATGCAGCTGACGCCATACGATGCAATGAGATCTTCCAGTGGAGATGTGTACAATGTGAAGCATAGTGGACCTAGGACAGACCCCTGTGGCACTCCAGTATTGACATTATGTGAGGGAGATGAAATCTTATTAATAAGTACAGATTGTTGACGATTTGCGAAATATGAGGTGAACCATTCCAAGGTGGAGTCGTTGATGCCAAAGCGATGATGTAAGCGTTGTAGCATGATATGGTGATCAATCGTGTCAAAAGCTGCCGAATAATCAAGAAGCACAAGAACGGCCTCTCGACCCTTATCAGCAGCGAGCAGCAGATCATTGTAAACACGTAGGAGAGCCGTTTCCACACTACGGTATTTACGGTAGGCTGACTGCATTCTACCTGCGAGATCGTGAGTAGCTAGATGACACTGTATCTGTGAAACTGCTGCACACTCTATAGTTTTCACGAGGAAAGACAGGTTGGCAATTGGTCGGTAGTTCCTCAGATTGTCAGGATCAAGATTCTGTTTCTTGATAAGCGGTGTGATGTTGGCAAACTTTAATGCATTGGGAAAGCAGCCATTTTGGAAACTCAAGTTGATAATGTTAGTTATAGTTGGAGTGAGCTCATCCAAACAATGCTTCAACAACCAGGTAGGTGCAGGATTGAGACTGCATGATTTGGATTTTGAGCTCATGATGAGTTGTCTTACTGCATTCTCAGACAACGCCCTGAATTGGCAAAATGATGCACTGGAACCAGGATCATGGACAGGAGCACAATCTGCATCTGAGTTGTCAAGTTCATTTCTCAGAGCTTTGATTTTGTCTGAGAAAAAGTTTGCAAAGTTACAAGCTAACAGTTCAGATGTTGAGTCAGAGGGGAGAATTTGCGATGATGATGTTGGTGTACTCATTGTATTGATGATATGAAACAGGCATTTGGAGTCGCAGTTTTCCAGTTGGCTCTTATGATAGTTAGATTTTGTAGCAGATATCAGTTGGTTGTAGCTACGACTCTGCTCTTTGAAAAGCTGCCTGTGAACCTCCAACTTCGAAGATTTTCAACGTCGCTCATGACGACGCAGCTCACGCTTGGCCGAATGGATGTCGTTGTTAAACCAGGGCGCGTGAGGACGGGCTCTAATGTGACGTTTTTGTGGGGGTGCGTGTTGATCAAGCAAATCTCTAAGGGTCTGCTCGTACTGAGTAACCAATGTGTCAAGATCCGTGGAAGGGGATGTGCATATTGGAGAATTCAAGATGTTCTGACGGAATACATCTAAGTCAATGTCACAGAGTTTGCGCATCTGGACATCCACATTAGCTGCAGCGGGGCGACCAATGGCTAACTTACAGATGACACAAGTGTGATCAGATGGCATATAATCACTTATGGTCAGTTGGGAGATAAAAGTGTCCGAAGACCTCGTTAAAAGAAGATCCAATGTATGGCCGGCACGATGTGTTGGGCCAGACACGTGCTGTTTCAGACCCGTAGATTCAAGGAGGTCACAAAATGTGGACGCCTCTCTATCAGATTGATTGTCAATATGAAAGTTGAAATCTCCTGCTATCATTATATGATTGGCATCATAAACGATATGTTCCAGCAATGAAGAAAATTCTTGCATAAAGAGTGTAGCTGTGGGCTTTGTGTTGAGCAATCTCTGAGGTCTGTATACAACTATGAGCCGGAGAGGTTCATTGGAAGGTGAATTAATGGACAAGTTGATGTGTTCAAAGGCATCATATGCTGTTACTTCATGCCGACGAACATGGAACCCCTTTTTTAGGCAAACAAGAACCCCTCCTCCAGCCCTATTCGTGCGAGGGATGTAGTAAAACTGAAAGTCAGGTAGGGTGTTCTTGAGATCGGCCAGAGTATGGTGATCACGATGATCACCACTCAACCAGGTTTCTGTAATAGCACAGATATCAATGCTGTTGTGTGCTATCATATCATAAATCATAGCAGTCTTACGTTTTACTGACTGGGAATTCCAAAGAGCAAAATTACAGCCAGATGAGAGCGTGGTGTCAGATGAAATATGCACAAGGTTGGTAGGATTGGAACCATATTGTCCCGAGGGCTGTTTACTCTCTTGTTTAGTACATGACGATACTAAGACAGGGATTTGTCTTTTCTGTTGCTTGGCCCATGATCTGCAGCCCCGTCGTGTGGGTTTTACAGCACAGATACCCAGTTCTTTCAGTTTATGGTAGACACCTGATGGTATCCTAGCTTTATGGTTGCGAATGGTCTTGAGATCATGGCTATTGTAAATCAGTGGAGTCATCAGTGTTAACAATGTGAAGAGCAGTAGCACCATTAAGGTGCACAAGTACACTCTGGAACCGGCCATCCGTAAAATAAAAGACAATGGACGTGAGTGTGTGCAGGCCCCCATGGGGAATATGGCTGCTGATGGTCCAAGGGGGTTTGAAAATCCACCAAAACAAAGTGTAAAATGTCACCAGAATTCTTGATCAAAAACCTCCAGGCTGGTCTAGTAGAGTCTGTGTCAGTAGAGCAGACCTATGCAAACTTTCTGGAGCAGTGGCAGCCGAAAAAATGATAGAAAATGATAAGCAATGTGGAGCAAAAAGGAGTGCAACCTACTGGCGCAACATCAACAGTATATTTTTATTAGCGGGCCCCTGACCCCACGCCGTAAGGCATTTATGCTCCGCGCTCACATTAGTCCTCAGAGCAAATGCCCCAACGCATTCTTGCAACAGTTTACAAACTAAGTCAATACGAATCTTTTTCCAAAATACAATGCAAGAAATATGAATACGAAAATACATGGTTTACTATTTTGAAGTACACAGTAACTTAAATGTTTAAAAGCAGAAGTATATTTAAAAAGAATCCTTATAATCTTAAAAGCTTTTGCTCAAACAATTCAGGGGTAAAGGGGCCAGGAATGGTATCAGATTGCACCACAGAGCATCTAGAATCCAAAATTGTCAGGGGCTTCACGCTCGTATTAGTTCTTGGAGCAAATTCTCCAAAGTTGTGCCCCCGTGTGAAGGGCAAAAACATAATATTGGTTTACATCACCCCAACGCAAATTCCATCTTATGGATAATATTTTAAAAACCTAAATATGGTGTTATTCACATACATGTACCTGTTATTCACATACAAGTACGAGTGAAAGTTGGGAAAAATCACTCGGGTGGGACTCGAACCCACAACCTCCTGCTTTCTAGTGCAGATGTCTTACCACTCGACCACCGAGCTAACGGCATAGTTTATGCGGTACCCGCTGCCATGTAAATCAGATTCAAACCAGCCAACCGATCCCGGTAGCTCGGTGGTCGAGTGGTAAGACATCTTCACTAGAAAGCAGGAGGTCGTGGGTTCGAGTCCCACCCGAGTGATTTTTTTCCAACTTTCACTCCGGAGGTAACACACTGAGTGTACAGTGTTTAAACGTCGGTAAAGGGCAAAACCTAATTTGATTTTATATCACCCCGTCGCAAAAATTCCATCTTATAACAGATATTGTAATTCTTGCTTTTGATTGTAGATTACCCACAAATAAGTGGAGCCAGCATAGGAAACACCGGCACGATCAGCGGTAGCCAGAATCCTGTCATTGTTGGTTCAAGTGCAGTTCATATCACTTACAACAAGTCGTCGGAGGAACGCGGTAAATATAATCTTGTTTGATGCAATGAAGTAGTTTGATATCTTAAATCAAGTGTTAATGTATTGGGGGGGGGGGGGGCAGGGGGAGGGTGGTTTACGGTTTTAGAATATGTGTTGAACATAGTTCCATGACTGTTGTAGTTCCCCAGATATATAGGACTTACAAAAAATTCAGATGACAATCGGGGCCCATGATGACGTCACTTTGGTATTAAAAGTATCTACCTACCCACCAAGTTTCAGTGATTTTGCCCTATCAAATAGGCCTTGCTTCTGACCTGCAGGAGTCAAGCATGGGAAGTGTCTCAAGAAACTGTCTCCGAAAACGTGCAGACTTTGCAAGTGCATTGTATACAAATGTATACAATGTAAGCGACTTCCGACTGACGAGTGTGGTCGAGAAAATGCTTTGTAATTCAGCACGTGTGGGTCAGAATGAAATATGCAAAAAAAGATCAAAGGAAATCCCCAGATCCCCACATTAACATGAATAACTTTCTGTTCAATGTTCACAATTCCTTTGTTATAAACCAGCAAAGTTTGAAAGGAGATTGGAAAAAAAATAATGGTTTTAAAAATAATTTCCACTAATATATTCAAAGACAAATGCGTGTTAACTCATTTCATACGCAACTGACTTAGCCTACGTTTTACTGTAGAATCAAGTCTTTAATAAACAAATTTAGCTCTGGTTGTGTTTGGTATTGTTCAGCTTGCATTGCCCTCTTTTTGGGGATGGGGGTGTATAAAGGAAGGTCCTATGCATCGTTAAATATGCCCTGGAATTTACAGACACTGAGTGGTTCCACACCCTGATGATAAAAATTTACATGAAAATATACGAGACTTGAAAGTGTCCTTGAAACACCGCAAGGTACAGTATTATCAAAGGTTTGCTTTCTGCTGTGTGATGTACCGCCAGCAACAGTTCTTAATTGTATCATCCTGTTTGTGGCTTGATCAAAATTTCTGAGTGGACTTCATCATAGAGTGAATAGAGAATGGCTATTGAGCGCAATGTAAACCTTGTGCAACTGTGTTTATCAATACACTGATACAGTAAAATCTTGATAAGTCTAAGGGAACAGTTTCTAAATTTGACTTAGCAGAGTTTTGAGTTGAGCAGGGTTGTATATCATTGTTATACTTCTGAAGGCAATGGATTCTTTGTTTGACTTAACAGTTGTTATGAGTTATCAGAGTTTACTTATCGAGATTTCACTGTATGTGATCTCAGGGATGCCAAAATATAGGGCCCATGTAATGTAATTTTGTTTTAATGCAATCAGAAAATGGACCTTTGTGTCCCATTTAACCTCATTGTCTTTTTTGCTATTTTCAAGGGTATTTTGGTGCTTTTTGTGTGTTTATGCTAATCCATATTTCCATATTCATGAGCAAAACTGTGATGTCATTCTGGTCAGAAACCTCAATGTTACAGTTACTTCAGCACAACAAGTTGCTAGAATTTTGATATTTTGTGGTAGTAAACTTTCTTTTCTTTGGCTAGTCGTTGTTGTGTCAGTACATGACTGTAAGCCAATGAGCAAACCTTTCTTACAAATGTTTTCAATGAGCAAATAATAGGTGCTTGATTTGAACAGAAAACCCCTAAACTGAAAAGTGTGTTCCTGAAATGACATTGTACAGGAACAGCACCCTCAGTTGTCCGGAAAAGCTTGGACAAGTTTAAGTGTTTAAAGAAGTGCACTTTTCAATCAAATTAACCAAAAAGGGATGTCAAATAGTTTTCATACATTTAAGGGAGTAGAAAGTTGCTCAAATTGTGTTTCTAAGAAAAATTCATCGCATCTAGACCCTTTGTTTAAACATGAAATGTGGATACGTAAATTTAAATCCTAGGCAAAATTTCTCAGTGTGCATGTACATTTTACTGCCTGTAATTGGAAACTTTAACCAATCAAATGTGTTTATAGGGAGCACAGGTAAAAAAAATAATAAACCGGTTTGCAGAAGAAAACTTATAGCCATATAGGTCTAAAAATGGACATGCAGATTGTTTGGTTTTGATGAATTATTGCAGCTTGAAAGCATTGTTATGAAACATGTTCATGTATACTCAAATTGTTTACTCATAATGATTTCATGATTTCTTTTAGAAACCACCGGACACCAGGGGTCAGGTACTTTTGAGGATTTGCAACAGCAAATTATCGACAACTACAAGCGAACTGCAAAGACTATTCCTGCACACCCTATACTGCAGTCACGTAATGTAGATATTGATAAATTCTTTATCCCTCTGTTACTCAAAAAGAACATACCAGGCAAAAGAAAATCAAAGAGGTCGGTGAGATTACCAGAAGGAAAAAGATTGTTAGATATCAATCAGACCACTAGGCTCCATTCCCTGGAGGATTTGTTGAATCCAGAAGTAGTTGAGGAAATCAAGATTCTTCTTTATGGCGGGGCCGGGACGGGTAAATCAACCCTGTTAGTGAAAGTTGCAAACTCCTGCATCATACTCAGTTCAAAACCCCTTCTTGGTAGATTCGATCTTGTGCTTTGGATAAAGCTGAGGCAAATGCAGCAATCTAGTTGTATCTTGGATGCCATATTTGACCAAATTCTGGCACGAAACACCAAACTGACAAAACACGCAGTCAAAGTGTTCATTGATGATCACGAATCAGGCATTGCCCTGCTGTTGGACGGATTAGATGAAATTCCTTCTCATGTTTTGCACTCTAAGGGGGGTGTGTACAGGGTTCAGGATATCTTACACAGCAAAGTCCTTGCAAAAAGTTTTGTGTTGGTAACTACCCGACCACACATGACCGAATATGTATTGAGCGATGACCACCAGTATGCAGTGGTTGAGACTGTTGGCTTCACACCACAAGACAGAGATCGGTACATCAGATTAAACTTTCCTGATGATGCTGACATGGGAGACAAATTGATTTCAAATCTGAAAGTCAATGCAAATCTGCAGGAAATGGCTGTAGTTCCAATCATTTCCCAGATGTTGTGCCTTGTTTGGGAGAATCAACAGTCCTTGCCAGAGAGAATTACCGAGCTGTATGCAGAGTTTGCATTGGCTCTTTTCAAGCGCCGTAATAAAGATATGAGTGGTAAACAAGTGATGTCTAACATGATGTCCATCATTGATGGCTTGGGGCGTGTTGCATTGCAAGGGTTACTAGACTCTAGTGGGGAAAGACTCATGTTCGATGAAACTGAATTTCAGGATTGTCAGTCTTGCTTACGTGAGGGTTGTCGTGTGGGTTTTGTTCAACTTGAACAGTACACTAGTGGTCTGCATGTAAACGTGTTGGTCACTTTCCCTCACAAGACCATCCAAGAATACTTTGCAGCATGTCACCTGGTGAAATTACTACAAGATGACGTAAAAAAGTTCCGTCATCAGTTGAAGCAGATTGGAGAACATAATGTTCATGCGATGGGATATCTGCTGAGATTTTGTTGCGGTAGATCAGGACAGGCTGCTGGTCTCATTCTGGATCACATAAAAAATGTGCAATCAGAGAGGCTAGATTTCGAGAAGAAACCGCAGATGTTGGCTCGGTGGTTGTTGTTGGAGTCTGGTTCAGGAGAGTTGGCTGCCAAACTTGTCAGACCAAATATGGTACACTGCAACAGTAACGAAGACCTGAAATCACTGAACTACTACTTACAACATGTCACTCCGCCACTTAAATGTAGACATTTTTACATGGACGTAAGACAGCAGGAGCTTACCTTTCTCAAGGGAATTCTTCTGAGTGACAGCATAAAGTCAGCTGATAAGGTAGTTGTTAACTACCACTTGTCTGAGCAGCAGCAGGGGGGGAAGGAGCTTAGCCTCCTTGAGAAAACACTTGGTGTGGTGGATGAACAGCACCGTGCTCTATTAGATGTCACCATTCACATTGTGCGGGAGTCATGGTTTGACCTGGGGCCTATCTCACACAGCTTTTTCCGCATGCAGAAACAAACAGGCAGTCTTAGTTTGTCTATGGTCACACGATCACCGGATGAGTTTTTTTATCTATTGAATGCACTGGAAGGATGCAGGTTGAGTTCGCTCACACTGTGGGACATTGACCTGCATGCACGGTTGCGAAATGTTAGCCACATCTCGTCATCCCTTGTTAGCTTGAACCTATCTGGATGCGGGTTGGTCGATGATGACGTGAAGGACCTGATGAGGATCCTCCCTGCTGGACATGATTTAAGTATGCTCGTTCTTGATAACAATGCATTCAGTTCGAATGCAGTGAGCGCTCTCACCCATCATCTCCGACGTCTCCCTAATATTGGGCTGTTGCCATCGGCTGATGAAAGGGGGGGTTTAAGACGAACCAGGGGCCTGACAAAGTCAGAGGGACTACTGCTGTCGTGGGGGATCCCCCTTGCAGATGAGTAGGACCTAGCAAGGCGGTGAGGGCAACAAGAAACAAAGCCAGACAGCTTCTCTGTGTTCACATGACTTTATTGCCGACTGCTGAACCTGAAGGCCACCTGTAAAAATTGGGCAGGCACTACCATGCAGCCCGCATGGTCTGAGGGGTATAAAATAAAACGTACAGTTCATGTCCAGTGGATAATTCACGTATTTAATCAGAGCCTTGGTCTTTGACAACTGGAATTTTAACATTAGTCCAGCGGATATGTGACAAAATATCGATGAATTGTGCACTTTTGCATAAAAGCGTGAAACTTGGCACAGATGTTTATATTCATGCGAGAAAATGTTTTAGATGTGGAGCCATCGCAAATTTACCCTTTTAGGGGCGTGGCATCCATTTAAAAAAAGGGGGCGGGACTTGTCGTGCCCGCAGTAAAAATGGTTTTTCCCATTTGTTACAAAAGCAGGAAACTTCACAAAGACATAATTATATAGATTATTAGTGTTTTCCAGATTCGGAGCCACCACAAAAGTACCTTTTTAGGGGCGTGGCAGCCATTAAAAGAAAAGGGGGGGTAATTATTATGCCCACTTTGGAAAACATTGTGCCCATATTTCATGAACAAATAAAACATCCCACAGACGTTTATATTCATGAGAAAAAAAATTCCAGATGTGGAGCCATCTCGAACACACCCTTTTAGGGGCGTGGCAACCATATAGGAAAAAAGGGGGGCGGGGTTTTCATGATGCCCACCCTGGAAATATTGTTCCCACACTCATAGAGAAATGGAACTTTCCACAAACATTGACATTCATGAGAAAACAAATTCCAGATGTGGAGCCATCTCGAACACACCCTTTTAGGGGCGTGGCAACCATATCAGAAAAAGGGGGGGGCGGGGTTTTCATTATGTCCACCCTGGAAATATTGTTCCCACATTCATAGAGAAATGGAACTTTTCACAGACATTGACATTCATGATAAAAACAATTCCAGATGTAGAGCCATTGCGAACACCCCCTTTTAGGGGCGTGGCAGCCATATTGAAAAAGGGGGGCGGGGTTCTCATTATGCCCAACATGGGAAAAATGTGCCCACATCTCATAAACGAATGAAGCTAATTTCCACAGACATTAATACTCACGAGATAAAAATCACACGTGGAGCCATCGTAAACACACCCTTTTAGGGGCGTGGCAGCCATAATAAAGTGGGGGGGGGGTAGTCATGATGCCCCTATAAAAGAAAGTTGTGCCTACCTTTCATAAATGGATTAAATTCCACTCGGACAATACATTCATAAAAATCTTTTTTTTTAATGTGAGGCCATCACAAACCTACCCTTTTAGAGGTGCGGCATCCATTTTTAAAAGGGGGGGGTACTCAATATGCACAACGTGGGAAATTTTGACCGCGTTTTATATATAATAAAATCCACCTCAGATAGCTGTTTAATGTGTTGGAGTAGGGCCGCCTTTATAGTTGGAATTTACTGTGGACAAACCCTTTGTTTTCTTACACTATGCATTCTTGCCTCATCTATATTAACCCAGTTACTGGTTCTTTCATCTGTAGAATTATTGATAACCTTTCAACTGCATCAATATCTGAATTAGGGGTATAAACTGGGGTACCTCAGTTAGTCCTGGAAAGACTAGTGTTACTTCTTCAAATACATTGTTTCCCCTGCCTTTTTTTCTGACAGACCAAAAGGCATATGCAGTGTCGCACCTGTATAACGTATAAGTTTTTTTAATGGATTTGGTCGGGGTAAAAAAAACACACTCATAAGAGCTTGATATACCATTTTTAAGAGAACAGAGGTGTTGTGTGGTGGGAGTACACAGATTCATTGAATGTGAAGTCATAGTGGACGTGTCCACCACTTTGTGAGGCGAGTACATCGTGTTGTTACCCAATCTGCTGTCAATGTAGCGCAACGGGTAAGGGGTAGGGGGATTTTACACTCCCCCCTCCCCCCTCCCCCCCCCCCCCCCCCCCCCCCCCCCCCCCCCCGTAAAAAAAGGATTTCCATGGCCCTTTAATGTTAAATGTTAGAGTTTAGGGCTGCCATTGTGTGCTGTGTATTTGTAATTATGAAATCACTCTGGAATTTAGATGTCCATGATAATATAGGTGCAAGTACACACATTGAACAGTATAACACGGGTTAGCCTACCGGTACTTACCCATGCTCTTTGGGGTAAGTCATTGTATTACCAAATAATATAGGTTATGGGCCAATCAACATTATAAGAAATCAACAACAAAATATAAAAATTGCAATTGTGGGCACAGTGAGTAGGCCCCTCACACCTCTAAAAGGATGAGTTTGCTGTGGCTCTACATAAGAACTTTCTTTTATAGGGGCATCATGACTACCCCCCCCCCCCCCATTTTACTATGGCTGCCACGCCCCTAAAAGGGTGTGTTTACGATGGCTTCACGTGTGACCTTTTTTTCTCTTGAATATTAATATCTGTGGGAATTAGCTTTATTCTTTCATGAGATGTGGGCACATTTTTTTCCCATGTTGGGCATAATGAGAACCCCGCCGCCTTTTTTCAATATGGCTGCCACACCCCTAAAAGGGTGTGGTCGCGATGGCTCCACATCTGGAATTGTTTTTATCATGAATGTCAATGTCTGTGGAAAGTTCCATTTCTCTATGAATGTGGGAACAATATTTCCAGGGTGGGCATAATGAAAACCCCGCCCCCTTTTTTCCCCTATATGGTTGCCACGCCCCTAAAAGGGTGTGTTCGAGATGGCTCCACATCTGGAATTTTTTTTCTCATGAATGTAAACGTCTGTGGGACGTTTAATTCGTTCATGAAATATGGGCACAATTTTTCCAAAGTGGGCATAATAATTAAACCCCCCTTTTCTTGTAATGGCTGCCACGCCCCTAAAAAGGTACTTTTGTGGTGGCTCCGAATCTGGAAAACACTAATAATCTATATAATTATGTCTTTGTGAAGTTTCCTGCTTTTGTAACAAGTGGGAAAAACCATTTTTACTGCGGTCACGACAAGTCCCCCCCTTTTTAAATGGATGCCACGCCCCTAAAAGGGTAAATTTGCGATGGCTCCACATCTAAAACATTTTCTCGCATGAATATAAACATCTGTGCCAAGTTTCACGCTTTTATTTTTATGCAAAAATGCACCATTTTTTCACATTTTGGACTACATAGCAAAGGTGGAAAATAATAGGTATTTTTAATAATATGAAACCTTAGACAACGTGCCCGACTTTAGTAATACCACAAACTACATGCACAAAATTAAAATCAGCTAAAGTTCGTTTGTTGTGTGTGACCTCCAGGTAGGTGTTGTGATTGGTCACTTCAGCAGAAACGGCGGTATAAAAGCCAAGTGAATACATTTTGTAAACAAAGATCACGGATAAAGATAACAAGGTAACAATAAATTTGCAATGATAACATTGATAATGGATAATTATAAAATGCACATATTATTACACATACAATAAGTAGAGTATGTGGGGCATCCCTACACTAAGTTAGGTTTGTTGACACTTCATAGAATTGGCCACGATGCTGAGCTCGTCATTCAAGTTATCAGTCAAAACTTGAATCAGGAAAATTTTGGATTCTAGATTGTTAAAGTGGTGCGATCTCAGGCAATATCTGACCACTTTAACAAAAAATTTTGAGCAAACCATCATCATTTAAACATCGAGTTTGGAGTAATTGAATCAGCTATCATTAGAACTCTAAAACCAAACTGTAATAGACTACAAGATATATTCGGGGACGAAAAAAGTGGGTGGGACAAACGATATGCTACCCCCACTTTAAAAAATGTCCAATGTTTAGGGATATGCCCCCCCCCCCCCCCGATTGACACCCATGCCGAAGGCTTGTCCGCCGTGTGTCCTGCATGCTATAGAGAGGTCTGGGTACATTTTCAACATATTTAAGAACATAGGTTTCGCGCCGCACGCTGTCTTGTCGCAGTTCTTGATCCCGTTGCTTTTTAATTTTAGTAAAACTAAAAGTATGACAGATCCCCCAATAATAATCCCCCAATAATAATTGTAGTCTTGTGTGCAACTAATCCTAGCAGGCTACGGTCTGACGTGAACTGTCGTATTAATTGTGTCTCTCCCTCCACTTTCTTCTCTTTTTGGTCTTTCTTCTTCTCTACATCTTGCTTTTATTTATTTTTTTAAATGTCTTTACAATTTTGGATTACATGTTTTGGGGTTTTTTTTAACAGCAGGGGGGCCATGGGGCCCCCTTCCCCCGCCCACGCCTATGGCTACACTTTGATTCCAGTTTTGAGTTCATCGAGAGTATCGTATGATTCGCGTCATATATTTGCATTGATTCATTCTGATAGTACCAAAGCACAACAATCTTCTCAAAGCAGTTGTTTCTAACTGTTATACACATCACATGGCGTCACGTCCACACATCCTATCTGTATCTTGGGTGACCTCTGAGCACTGTTTCTTGCCAATATCCCCTCTTTCAGGGCACCAATATATGAGATTATAACACTAGAAACTAATCTCCAATTAAACAGGAGAATCCACATCTACTTTTGAGGAAATATCTTGTATTGCATCATCTTAGGTAAAAATTGTGTGAGATGTCTTCAACTTTTGTGACAAAGGCCTCCTCCTACCCTGTTATCCGATCAATGTACTTGTAGTAATATGGCATTCAAACAAACTAATGTGACCACATGCAAATGGCTGCACGACACCCTTCCATAGACCAGTGCTGTGCAAAACTTAGTATACAGAATAATACCCCAAACCTCGGGTACTTTTGAATTGTTTTGCGTTTCCCTTATATACAAATTCGGAAAATTCTCGCAACTTCACGCCTTTCAAACAGACTTTTCTTTTGAGTGTTTGTGCTTCATTCTTTATCAAATAGTTTGTGTAAATTAATGTAAATTACGCATAAAATGGCAAAAATTATGATTCCAGTTTGCTAACTTTTGTATAGATCTTTAACCTTGACTGTTTATGTAATATACCTTTAAAGTGGTCCAGTTGTGTAAGGACATTATAACATGGATTTTGTTTACTATTCAACTACATCATGTTTAGGCGTATCTCCATATTGAGAATTACTAAACCAGTGTTCATACTGTCAAACAATTCATGTATAATATATACATGTAGAATGTTGCATTGCCAAATGACACATTTTTGTCAGAGGACAGTCATGTTTGCTCATTCAGGACCAATTAATCGTTCCAATTGTTGTATATATACACGCTAATG